AGTGGTCGAGTCCAAATGCATATGAAAGCATGTTGCTTAATAGAGTAGCCTGTTGGAATATCCAAAATGTTTTCTCCCAGTGGTTTGTGAATTTTGTCTAGATCAACGTCTTGATTGTGATTTTAGGTCTGTAGAATCTCCAAACAAGTCAAAAGCAAGAAGCTGCAAAGCAATGTAATTGTACGATAGCTGATGTTGAGAATGCGCTTGCAAAGTTCACGTGGGCTAAGGAGGCACAAAAGAAGATAGCAAAGTTAAAAGAAGAAGGGAAACCACTTCCAAAGAGTCTGGCAGAGGTACCTACCATCAGTGTCATTATTTTAGTTATTATCTTGGACAAATATAATGGGCTCCAAGGTAGACTAATAATACCGGATAACTAAAGTTACTGATAGTGTACTCTTTTTCTGATCCCTTTTTTTGAGTAGTTTAATTATGATGAAGATACTCTTTGATTAATCAATTTAATATCCCATCACATTTTGAGGACATGCTTGCATGCCTGTGGAAGAGATTATTGAACTGATTACGTGGATGTTTTGCAACTTAAATCACCCTAATGAGCCACAACTAGATTAATTCTTTCTAGGTTAGCATGTGAATGTTTTCAGAATGCAGGACAGACAAGGATGGTCCTTTTATGAAAATAGGTATCTGAATACATAAAGTTGTTTTTTTTTTGAGGATCTTCACTGTTCTAATGAACATAAATAAGCTGAACAACTTGAAGTAGTCGATCAGGAATTTGTGCTTCCGTAAAAAATAAAATTGGTTCTGCATTGTCTAGCCGTTCACCGAATAAGATGGCAAAAGGGTTTTTACTTCTAGGATGGCTTGGTTTGTTGGATTATATTATAGTTTTATTTTCTTTCACTATCTTGATTGTTTATAAACATAAATCAGTTGATAAAATTGTATTTTTGGTTTCTTCCTCAGTTGATGGAAAAAAAAAGATTTTCATTTTAGTAATCTATGATATTCCTCGATAAAAAAATTTAGTGTCTGTATACTGTTTTCGCTGGACATGGAACTATTGATTTTGATTTTTGTTTTGTAGGTGCAAAAATTGATGGGGTCATCACCACTCGATGTTGCTAGGTCTAACTTGGCTAAGAGTGGACAGATCAGCCGGAATGCACTTTGTCCATGTGGTTCTAAAAAAAGATATAAATGGTATGTTTATGGCCTAATTTGCTGCATAGTATGGGAATCTTGTGGAGTACATTGCATAAGCTCACGGAAGACATTATTTCCTTACATCATGCCTTAAATTGACAAGGAAATCAACTGGATTTATATCTGCCATCTTATTTATTTTAAACTCATTTCCTCCTTCCTGTTCCTTATCCTTTCTAACATATGCATTTTAATTCACATTATGATCCATGCTCACTCTACATGCTTGGTTCGTTTTTAATAGCTGTCTTCTCCTACCTCAAGTGGGTTGCAAATCATAATATTATGGGAACTCTTTTCCCCCGTGTAGTGATGATATCTAGAAAACGAAGAGATCTTTTTATCGTGTCTGTTATTTTCCTTTTAATTCTAATTGTCTTTCCATGCTTGTTTTAAAGGTGCTGTGGCAAGGATTCAAAGAATTAAGAAGCTACCATATTAGAGGTGTTATCGACCAAGGATTCAAAGGCTCAAGAAGCTACCATAGTAGAGGATACTACATCTGTATTCAAAAATGAGATTGATCCTCAACATGGTAGATATCAAGGTGCAGTCTCAAATAATATCTCTCAGGGTTAATCTCCTTAGATTTTCCTTAAAGTAGTATTTTGCCTATAAAAAGGCACATAATTTTGCGAGAGGAGAGTAGACAGATAATTCCAACTTGCTTCTGATGGATTGCGATGGAACTATTTGTTATAAAATGCAAAAAATAAAGCTTTTGTGGCAGATCCCACCTCATTATTGTTGTTATCTCCATCTTCTTTGTTTTCTTCTCCTTGCTTCCTGATTTATGTGTATCGGGTTCATTTGCAGTTTTGCATATTGATGTAGACCTAAGTCCTTGAAAACTTGGTTTTTTAGATGGAAGGCTTGGTGATAATGGGGAAGTGAAAAATGTTGTGAATATACAAGCTAATTTTGTTTGTAAAGTTGTGCATATGTGCCGCTATCGCGGTGCAAAGCGAAAAGTTTGGTGATTGCTTGCTAATGTACTCGGTAACTTTTTTTAATCGAGATTTATACATTCATTAAGAGATAATTCATAAACACTAATCATAAATACAACGAAAATAGCTTTCTATAGAGGATATATATAAGAATAAAGTTCGATTTGAACTTATATTTTTTTTTTAATTAAAAAAGAGATGTATTAATCATTCAATTAAATAATAATTTAGTCGGCGAAGTTAGTTTATAGAATAATTTGTGAACATTTGAATCAAATTTCATATTGAAAAGTTCGCCGATGATTGAGTTAACTTTTGCCATGTTTAAAATTATGTTTGGTTCAATTCTCGCGTGTCTACCGTTTCACCACTGAGGCATTTTGAAAGTCAATCGTATTTCATAAATATGATATCTATCTAATATGATCTATGAAATATATGATAAAGGTGAAGTGTTGGAGTATTTCTATTGATCGGTGATGTCATATAGGCTCGAGTTGGACATCTAATTGCTTCGATTTAAATTATCCGGATGATGTCTTATATATATTAATTATAAAAAAGATGAACAATCAAACCTATTTCTCGATTCAATAGAAGCCCAAATACGTGAATAAAGTCTCAAGCAAAACACGATTTCTCGTGTTTAATTTATTTATAGTCACTTCCTGAATTCTTTGATGATGTGAATTCAATTTTCACTTGTCCCAAGCTTGAATCAAACTAATTCAGACACAAAATATTATGATCATAAACATATTTAAAGACTAAAATGAGAATTTCAAACTAAGAATTAATTAATAATTGAATGGGAATTGAACCAAATGCTTTATATAATCTATTAATGATCCACTAAATCTATTAAACTTAATTAATGACTTCATTAGATTCTAAAATCCACTTATTAAGTATTCAATATTTAACATTATTAAATTGAAATTTTCGAAAATAAAATTGAAATTTAAATAATATGTTGTAAAAAAATTATAATACGAATTTAAAAATAATAAACATAATATTTCAAAATTTATGTCATGTAAAATTTTTTTATGATTATATTCTAAATTTAATTTTGTTTTTAACAACTAAATATGTGAATTTAATTTTTTTTAATAATCAAATCAATACTATTTTCAGGTATTTGGGAGGAACGCTAAAACGACGTCGTACGCGTCCCTACTCAGTGCGTTCACTCCTACTATCTTCTTGCCTAAGCTTCCTTGCAGTTCACTACGATGGAGAGTGGCGAAACTTTGAATGCTCTGCGATCATATGGCTTTCGGGAAAATGAAGTGGTGGATATCTTCTCATTTTTATCTAGAAATTTGGCATTTCTCAGACTCATCAACTTCTCCGTGTATGTATGCACATTCTCGCACAGTCTCTCCATTTCATCGAACATCCTAATGTTTCATTCTCATTTTTCTTCAGGCATTTTGGTCAAATCTTTATATTTGTGTTCTTTTTCATTTCCTGAATCTAACCTTTAGATTCTGGATATTTTATTAGTTTGAGTTTAGTATTCTGAATGCCTCTGTGTTATCTGGTTTTTCCTTTTCATTTACATGGTGAATGGAGAAAAGTTTGTTTGTTTCCTAAATTTTATATGCACATCCAGAGAATAAGAACAAGAAATGCTGCGAATTACTATGTAAAACTGATTTTGTTTCCAATTATCAATTCCTGCAGCACGATATCTGATCATATTATCTTAATGTTGAATTGGTTTTTCAATTTGATATTCTTATTGTGGATGGTTCTTTTTGTGTTAAAAAATTACTAGTATGGAGATGGGACTGAAAATTAGGGCTTATTACCTGCTAAACTGTTCATCTGGTTTGGTGTATTAATGGTTAAAACAAAAGTTGCTAAGCAGGGACAGAAAGGACCTTAAAAGATAAAATATGGTTTTCTTTTTTAATTGTGTAGATACATTTTTACCAGCAAACTTATGAACAGTTGGTACATTTCTTACTTTATAAGAAGTTGTAGATTCGAGTCACATTGCGTGTTCCGTCGTTGTGTTATAATGAGTTTATATGTGTCACCTAA